GCTGGGATTACAGGCGTGAGCCACCGCACCCGGCCTTAACCGCTTAATAAACTCTTTTTGGCAACTCTTTATTCTCCTGGCTTCCAGGATACCACACACTCCTGGTTTTCCTCTCAAAACTCTCCCAAAGTGACTTTAATCTACTGGCTTTAATTCAAATGGTGTGTCAGTGACTCCCAAATTTATATCTCTAGTCCTAACTTCTCCGAGCTCCAAGAATATATCTAACCACTTGCTTGACATACTTAATTTGACATCTGACAGCTACCTCTTTTTCCTTTAGTCTTCTCATCATAGTAAGTGGCACCACTGTCTAATCCAGTTGTTCAAGCCTAAAAGCTAGAATTTCTCACTGAGTCCTCCCTTTCTCCTACTTCCCATATCCATCAGCAAGTTCTTTGGACCTTCCTCCAACATAAAATCTGAATCTGCCTGCTTCTGCCTATCTCGCTGCTAGTACCTTATTCCAAACCACTGTTATTTCTTACTTGAATGCTGTAAAAACTTTTATCTCCCTGCTTTGTCTCTGGTTTGCTACAGTTGTCTCATAGTAACCAGAGTGATCATTTAAAAAGGTCAGGTAATTCCTTTGCTTAAAACTCACCAATGGTTTTCTTTTTCCACATAGAATAAAATCTGAGCCCCCTCCCATGTTTTTACAAGGTCCTCTATGATATGACCCCTCCCTCCTTTGTGACTTCTGTTGTGCCACACTCCTCATTCATCACATACCATCCTCATCAGATAGGCCAAGCCCACTCCCATCTAAAAAGATTTGCGCTTACTGCTTCCTCCTCAAAGTCATCCCTCAGAGCTTACGTATCTGGCTCTTTCTTGTTATTTGGGTCTTAACTCCCAAGGAGGAGGAGGTGTCACATCCTCAGAGAGGGTTCCCTAACTAGCATCTAATCTCTTTTCTCCTTCCCCTTATCTCTGTCATGGTATCCTGTTTGAATTTTCTCTGTAATACATATCACCATCTGAAAAGCTTGCTTGTTTTATTAGAATATCTGTTTCCTTATTTATTATCTCTTCTCACAGAATATCAGCTTGACGAGGGCAGGGACCTTAAGTTCATCTTTGATATTAAGAACAGTAGCTGGCACATAATAAGCACTCAGTATATATTTGCTAGATAAGTAAAATACTTGTTTTATGACATCATTCCAAGGATTAGAAATAATAGCAATAAAGCTTTTACTATACACAGTGCCTGGCACATAGTAGGTGCTTATTAAACAATGGATATAAAACAGCATAGCATATTTAATCTTCTATGCAGTGTCACACTACATGTTGTTGACTGACTTATTGATGTCTTCTAAGACCATTCAATTTTTATTGACTAAGTTGTTATTTGTGCAGATCGTATGATTTTATATACTTCCTTTATGCTCCCAAACTTACCCTGATATCATTTAAAAAATAGCTATTTCTTTGGGGTACTCTAAATGTCACACTTTAGAAAGCTTCCTATTGCTTTGAATCTATGATATTATTTATACAATGCATCATGACTTTCAGAAAGAAAAAACTCTTCCAATTTATTGAAGGATTTCAGGGACTAAAATGTGTATCTTAGAATAATAAAATATGGTTTTAAGAAAAAAGTGATCTTCAGACATACAGGTACAAACAAATTGAGCTTATCAAAAAGAAGGATAGTTTCTCCCTTCTCTTACGGGAAATAAAGTGATAGTCTCTTGGATTTGGAAAAATTAACGTTTGAAAATGGACCATTGTGCTGTTAACCTAAGAGAAGATACCGGGTCTAGCACAGTGCTCGTATTCACTATATGAGGATCATTACAAAACCTCATTTTGTACTTAGGGAAGCAGTTTTAAATCAGAGTATTATTGCTAATTTAGGAGAAAGTATTTCTTCCAAAGTTATTTTGCAATCCAGTCACTATAAGATGGCATTTTTGTATAGTAAAAGCTCCTTTATCTGAAGGGATTGGGTCAGTTAATCGAAAATGTCAGTTAATATAGGCAATCACTGAAAGATACATATACATTATTTTGAATTAAAGCACATAACAGTAGATGCATTCATCAATCATTGATATTGAGACAAGGCCTTTTGAAGATGAATCTGCTGATAAGAGTTCTCCTACATTATCCTCACATAAATCATAACCAGAATATATATTTTCATTATTTTTGAAGTGGAGCAAAAACTGACACTTAAAGTTTGGAGTTCTTCTACTTATGATTTTACCCCAATTTTTAACACTTGTCTTATCCATACCTCATTCAATATCACATTTAATAACTCACACTTATCTAGTCATCCTAAAGCAGTCACTTAGTTTGTATGGAATCGGTCACTCTTTTGCACTCACATTTCATCAGTTTCCATAATATTTATGTCATGCAAATAGAATGACAGATACAATTGATATGAACAGGTTTGGGTATAATACTATACAACTGACTCTTCATAAGCATACAGATGACATGGAGCAGAGCTATGCAGGCATTTTAGACAGTAGCCAGCTGGAAGAGCCAGACTGCCTGTCAATGGTAGAGTTTGATGGAGGGAATAGAGAGCAGGGATTAATCCTGGGTGTTGCATAAGTGAGGTTATTAATGAGTGTTTCTAGTGTAGTATACATTTTTCTGTCTTTAAAAATTCTCTAGATTCGATCCATATGGAAAGAATAAGTTCTCCACTTGCAGAATTTGTAAAAGTTCTGTGCACCAACCAGGTTCTCATTATTGCCAGGGCTGTGCCTACAAAAAGGGTAAGTTTCTTTTAAATACC